AGACTGCGGAGAGGCATCATAATTTTCACTTAGGTGGAGCCTAAAGATGTTTCTAATCTACTAGTAGTTACGTTCGCCTCAATGGGGTTGAGTGAACGGCCGTCATTCTAGGCTGGTGACCGACCTATACATTGTCCACCTTTTAATAAAATAACTCCAGCTTGCGCTCAGCTCATACAACGGAGCACTGTTCTCCCTGATCTAGATCAATAACCAGAAAAAAATTTCGAATTTATAGATGGCTAGCACCAGAAGTATTGACGAAAGGTATGTATTCACACAAAAGTGATGTGTGGAGCTGTGGAGTACTAATGTTTGAAGTTTTTTCTAACGGAGAAACACCTTACAAGGACATTTCGGTTAGTGGGCGAGTCTTTTATTTTACTTCGAGGATAGGGAGTAGGAAACTTCAATTTGCATAGTAATAATTGCAGAAGTTGCACGATGTGCGAAAGAAGGTCGTTTTCAACGGACTCCGACTTAGACCGCCGCCAGATATGCCAGCAGAAGAATCTGCCATCATGATGAGCTGCTTTGAAGACGATCCAGTTGCTAGGCCCTCTTTCGATGACTTGAAAAGGATGTGCGTTTAAGTAGTGAAACCCTACATACAAAATGCTCACGAATGCTGCTGAAAACAAATGATCAGCGCATCAGCGCTGTTAATTCAATTCGCGATGCTACCATGCCGATGGAGCTATTGTGGACGATTCAGGAGAACATTCCTGCTTCTGATATCTTCTTTCATTTCTTATCCAAGGAGTTTACTTTTTCACAAGAAGAATGCACTCAACGGAAGGGCTTGCCTTGAAGTATGGTTCAATTCTTCAAAGACATGGATGGACCCGAAACCACACGTGCGCCAAGATGAGCATACTTGGAATAGTCCACACCGCGTGGCTTTGACGTGGCAGTCCTGCCAAAGACCACGATGGGCGACAACTTTACTTGTCAATCACACTGCTGAAAGATTTTCTATCCGAAATTGGTACTTTCGCTCCTGCTGAAAAAACTAGCTTTGCGTGTGACAAATTAACAGCCAGTAATGTTCTCCATGTAATCGTCCACAGTGGCTCCATCGCCTAAAAACACTCTTTGATGAGATTATCAAGCACAGGGTTATGAAGAATGTCCGAGTGCCCACAAACCGCTGTCGAGAAAGTGCAAAAGAGAACACGCATCAACGATTCAAACCACGACGATATGGTCTTGGGACCTACGATGCACTCGGCCGTGCTGCTTCGAGCAAGATTGCCTTACGCCGCGAACTCGTATTGAGTGCCCGTATCACGACCTGAAAAGGATCGTAACTTTGCTCTGGGAGCTCCGTAGCAGATATAGGAAACTGTTTCGTCATCCCCGTCCCCTTTCCGTCCGTATACATCTCATTTCGAATGATCGGAAACTTATACCTGCCATTCTTTCCTTATTAGAAACGAACTGATTGGAAACATTCGTCAACCATACGTCGGCTGTCCCGTCGTCAAATTGTTTTTAGGACCATTTCCCCCTCTTGGTTATCTTTGACAAATTGTAAGCCGGTGGGTTTGCTGTTTTTGGCCACCGCTTGATCGTCATAGCAGAGAACTTACCCATATGTTCGGCGCTGGTGATGACGAGTCTATAGCAATCGTAAAGGGTGCGCTTTGTTTCTAAAGGCGTGAATCCATTTCTTTATTGACATCTCGGAATGGGTGTCTTTCGCAGCATCGACAGCTTTCTTCGCACACATCGTTTCTTTGTAGTTCCGCCAACTGTCAGCTGGCTGGTTGTCGTAAGACGTCGTGACAGCGCCCTGCTTCTTATTGCGGAGCTTCTTTCCCACAGAACTGTTTGTCAACAATCCACTGCTTTATAAATTCTAACGTGCCTTTCGCACGCTTTCGTAATTCCAGTTCCGGATAAGCAGCCTCGATGTGGCGGTTTCAACGAGGCATCCCATGCTTAGAATGTCCTCGGTTACCTCAGCAACTTGGTGGCCGCCCACGAAAAAACAGCGGACCTCAACAATGCAGTTCTCGGGAACATGATTTCTTGACCAGTTGACATTACAACGCAACTACTCGAAAATGGGTTCTACGCAGTAGAGTATGTGCCCTTTCTTTATTTGACTCCCAACGCGAAATACATCTATTTGCTATAACGTTTGTTTAAAACTGCATAGACGAGGTTGTTATGAACGTTTATCGGCTGACGTTTCGGCGGTTTCGCCTTCTTCGGAGCCTGAAAGGGTCAAGCCGAATTATGATCTCCGACCCAGCATCAAACGCACTCCTTACCCTTTCGACCCCACTAAGTCCAGCACGTAATACGAGTGAAACAGCTAACATACCTCAACCGGATTCACCGGATCAAACGACGAGCCTCGGTGATGGAAGTTTTCGAACTGAGACTATCCAGAGCCATTAAATGCTAATCTTATATAGGGAGATAGCTCTCGCGTGATTGATAAGCATTCTCCCCTTCGGTTCATTCTTGGATTCCTGACCTGAATCCAGAATGCTTCGAGAGTTTTTCGCGCGGAAAGTTGGTCTTCGCGCTCTAAAACCTCTACCGTGACTCCAAAATCGTCTCCGTTGTGGTCTTGTACCCTGTGACATCCTAATGGGGATACACGCAGTCTAGATTTTCCATCCAGATGCTCCTTGATCCGCACATGGAGTGGCCTAGCCGTTTCACCAATGTATTCATCTCCACAAGTTGAACAGGAGATCTTGTAGACCACACCTGCGACTATGCAGTCTCCTTCCCTGCCACCAGGGCAAACTACACAATCAAGGGTTACACATGTGCGATACTGAACCAACAATGTTACATCTATTTGCTCTGCTTTGATTTTATTCGAAGGAATGATAATAATTTAGTAATGGCGGCTCCCGTTCAAGATAGGACCAAAAACTTCTGCATTTCCGGGGAACAAACCCCTTGCATTGCCTACGAGATCTCCGAAGCTCACTCGATCACCATTTTGAAATAATCACTCCAATCTCTATCAGGATAGTCACCTTTCAAAGGGCTATGAAAATTCGAAACCAGTCTCTCCTTAGACCTGAATAAATCCATAAACTCGACCACTGACTGCAAATATGGAAACCAAAGCTGCCACCTGAAACTCGCAAAGAATCGGGCGGAGGTTGGAGTGACGAGTGGTGCGCTCATCACACTTGGTAGGTGGCGAGCTTTATCAGCTTCCTCAGTCTAACCAAACCTAAGAAGACCATAGCTGATACCAGATGTCTCGGAAGATAAGAAATCGACTCGTCCATCGGCTGGTCATCGCAAGTCATTGCATAAGCCACATTGCATTCAATAAGCCACTAAGATTCTGAATGGAATGTGAAATCCGTGTCGCATTCCACATAGTCCATTCCCGCAGCTCAATGGCGGAGAATTTATTGGTATCCACCTACCTCGCAAACAAGTTATAAGCCGTAAAATTAATCTAAACTGCATTGCTGACAGACCGGTATGGGTGATGGTCTGAATGCCTGCGTGGTGCTGGCACAGAGATGGGCTCTCGTTTGGCGAGCATCCATTTTTTGCTCATGTGCCTCTGAATAAATCATCTTTTGAAAATATGAACGAAGATATTTTACAAAAACAGAGAATTTTCAAGATTAATAAGAATTTTTGGTTTTGATGCATTCCTCAACCGAGGCAGGGATAGCCGAGTGGTTAAGAGTGTAGACTCACGTTCACACCCTGAGCCACGAGTTCAATCCCTGCCGAGGCACAAACCTGCCTTGCAAAAATTGCAAAAATGGGGACGATACCAGCGTCAGGCCCAGGTTGACAGGCCGGCTGATGGAGGAACCCGTCACAACAATCATGACAAGTCGCAATAGAATCAGTGTTAATGCTAGGACGTCACCCGGAAGTGGCGCGCAGAATCGCCCGAGTTCTGTGGTCAGTATGCGAGGGCTACCGAGGGGTGAACGACCTCGGCCAAAGAAGCTAGTTCGAATTGGGACCCTGAACGTGGGGTCGCTTACCGGGAAGTCTCGTGAGGTTGCCGACCTCATGAGACGCAGGAATATCCAAGTCCTATGCCTGCAGGAAACGCGATGGAAGGGTGCGAAGGCCGCGAGATCGGAGAAGGTGTTAAACTCTTCTACAATGGAGCAGACACCAAACGAGAATGGTGCGGGCTACAGCGGTGGCAGAATCCCTCAAGGACTGCGTCTCCTCTGTGAACAGGATCAGTGAGCAGATCATGGGAGTGAGAATGTACACGAACGAGGGGTGCTGAACAGTACTGACCGTGTACGCACCACAATCCAGCTGCTCCGAGGCGGAAAAGGATGACCTGACCCTGGACGAAGCCATAAAGAGCGTTCAGCGAAGGATGACTACCCCTCACATAAGCTTGGGGATGCTGAATGCGCCATGTTTCGGAAAGTGACAGAAGGGCGTCTGGAAACGGGTACACAGGAGGCCAAAGGAATGGAGGCAAAGGAACGCTGCAGAGGAAGAATGTATACATCTTGAACCTAGCCCAGCCCACCCTGACTAAGCAATGACTGCAGCACCTTCTTCGCGAAGAGGAGGACCCAAAAGGTAACCTACAGCAGTGGAGGGAGACAAACGGAAATCGACCATGTCCTGGTCAGAAGATCGTCTCTCAAAACCGTCAAGGATATCAAGGTACAGCGTCCTAGGAAGAAGCTGGGCCCTCCTCATGCAGAGACCGTCTCCTGCTGAGCACATCGCCACTAGACCCTCCCGGCAAGAGACGATGGTGAGAACAGAGCAGAGAATTCGGTGGTGGAAAATGCGCAAGGTAGAAAAGGATAGCCTCGTCTGAAGACTACTGGAGGCTGGGCTTCTAGAGCCACATGGGCCAGTCCAGGAGGTCATCCCACAGTATGCAAAGGAAGTCCTGGGAGAGACGCGCGGTGGGCATCTGAGGAAGAGAAGGCAGCCTGCTCCTGAACACGAGAAAACAGTCCAAGGTAATCGTCAGCAGCACAAGTAAGGAAGCATATAAAACGCTGGCAAAAGACCGGAGCTCAGAAGACTTCGCTGCCTTAGCCTACAAGAGGCGCAAGCGACTCGCTAAGGCAGCCGTTGCTAAGGCCAAAAATACGGAAACGGACGCCCTATACGAGAAGCTGGAGAGCCGAGAAGGGGAGCGTGAGTCTTGTCTTTCGCCTGGCTAAAAGCTCTCACATCGGGCGCTCAGAACATGCGGGGGTCGTGAAAGACTTTGGTGAGAGAGGCAAACAAAGGGGCTCATTGCTCAGGAAACCAGCCGAAGTCAGAAAGAGGTGGGAAGAATGATTTGAGGGACTACTGAACTAAGAACTCAGCCGCAAGGATAGCCCACAGATAGAGGCGACAGCAGCTCACCCATCACTAGTGGACTCCCTGGATGAAGGATGAAGACCGCCGTGCGACAAGAAGAATGAAAGTTGGGAAAGCAGTGGGTCCAGACGGGGTACCGATAGAGGCATGGAAGGCCCTGGGAGAGCTTGGGGTGAGTTGGCTAACAGACTTCCTGAACAATGTAACGGCTGAAGGAAGGATGCCAGATGCGTGGAGGAGCAGCACAATCGTCCCCATCTCCAAACAGAAGGGGACGCGACGGAGTGCT